AGAACTTCTCTGCTCTGACCAATCAGCCAGATTTTTTTCTTTTTTTAGCATCCATTCTTCCTCCTGAGAAATATTTCGCTGCTACTTTCTGTCCCTGAAGCCAGGTAGAGAAGGGAATCTCTGGTTTTCTACAATGGAAGTGCATCATCTGCGGCTTCCATCTAAAGCCATTAATGTTTGGAGGTTTGGGGCAGTGCAATTGCTTTTTCTTTATGGACTAAACTATAAACTATAGAACACTTGGGAGGTCTGATGGAGTTGATTCCTATAAATCCTCTTAATAAAAAGAGAAAATTTAATATTAAAAATACATAAATGTGCAAGGACTTTGAAATTGCTTATTTTAATGATAGTACTTCATTGCTCTGATCCTCTATGGTTATCAGAGATTCAAAATAATTTTAAAAAGGGGGATTTTGACTGCTTTTCTGCAGCTGCTTTCCTTCATACTAGTCTTAGTAACTCTCCAGGTGGCCTGTCTTATAGACCAAAGTTATAAGATGCAAAGCCAATCTGTTGCAGGCTGATGGTCTACAAATAATTCTCGGTGGGAACCTGTGAATTTCAAAGCCATTTCTCCTCAAATTCCAAGACAAGTAAGGCTCCAATTTTGACACTGAAAATTGAGTATTGAGAAATAGCCTTGATTAAAATTCAGTCCCCCCAAATTAAAATTAATGTTTGAAAATCCCAGCATTTTTAACAGCTCCTTCTACTTCAGCCACCATGCTATGGGTGGATCCTTGTATCAGAGTAAAATAGTTTATTTTCTGATTTAGAAGAGGCATCTCAATTTCTTGTTGAATCATAGGGAGTAGTAGATGATTATCTTCATTTATATTTAAAGATCAGTTTCTTCAGTGGCAAAAGTCTGGGTCTTATGCTTACAAAAAGCAGGTTTTTTTTGGGGGGGGGGGGTAACTGTTGTTAGAATATGATTAAAAAGTTGTGGGGAGAAAAGGCCCTATAAAAGAATAAGCAGTGAAACACTGAAGCCTCTGGAACAATGTTTCTCATCCTTGGTTACTGTGTGAACTTCCAACTCCCAGAATTCCCTGCCCAGCATTGGTGGCTAGGGAATTCTGAGAGTTGAAATATTAAAGTGGTCAAGATTGAGAAACACTGTTCTGCAATATAGGATATCCCTATTATGCTATGACAGATTCTTGGAATCAAAGTGTTACTCCTTTTATATTGGTGTCAAAGGAATATGTGCCATTTACTGGTGAGGTTAGGAGCATAATCATCGCCAAAGCATGCAGTCAGTGCTGTCCTTTTTTTTTTTTTTTTTAACAAAAAGCCAGCCTTTCTCAAATGCCTCATTCCCCCCAAAATTTATAGCACTTAATTTTGGAGCGTGAAAAGGAAAGCTAGCCTTCCATGGAAATATATTTGTTACCAGTATCTTTTAAATAGGATATGTTTTTCCCCTTCTCTTATTTCGTGAGCTATGCGGTACAATTAGGCTGGACAATGTATGTCAGTGATTTTTTTTTCTGTATTTCTGTTTTTTAACCAAGAAACTTTGGAATAGAATTCTCTTCACTCCTTCACCCCAAATATAACCTCCCCACAAGAAGGGAAAGTTGGAAGGAAGCAATTTTAGGAAATGCTGCTTCCTAAAGACTTGTGGTGTAAATGTTGTATTTGCAGTGGAGACCATCCTGTTTTCTCTTCATAGAAGGCAGAGAGCTTGTATTGGTAGGTGAGGGAGGTTTGAGGAAATAAGGAACAAGATGTGAACAATCTCGTTTCTTGGTGGCAGCCATTTTGCAAGGGTGGCCTGTAATATGTCAGTAGTCCACGTTGTGAGTTGCTCTGTCTTAGTTCATTTCTGCCTCTTCTGCTCACAGGATTGTCCTTTTCCCAACCTTTACTCTTTCTTGCAATAGGCCAAAGAGAGAATGAAAGAGATCCCTATCTGTATCCAAGCCACTACTTTTTATTCTTTTATGAAAACTTTAAAAAATGATTACCATTTCACAGATGCAACTGAGGCTTTTCTCCTGGCTTTGAAAATAGCAAAAGAAAAAAAAAGGATTTTCAAATATTTAGGCTGGCTCCTTTTTCCCATTTTTATCCAGCCCAATCTTTCTAATTACTTGAAACATTGTTAGTTTTTCCATTGGATTTGCATAGAACCTGTGGGTAGTGAGTGGACACATTCCCTGTCCTCCTAGGAGCAAAATTCACTACCGGGGGTCAATAGGATGCATCAGGATCCTACTGAGTGCACCCTCCCAAAATGAGGTCACTATGGTTTGTTTTTATTACTGAGTTAAGGACATTGGTGTATTTCTGATGCCAGAAGATTTTAGCTTTAATACAGTAATCATTCCGTGGTCCTCTCATCTGAATTAACGGATGGTGCAGTTTTTAATTCTTCCATTTTGATTTTAGTTACTTTGGATTACAGCAGTATTTCTCAACTTCAGGAACTTTAAGCTGTGTGGACTTTAAGCATGCTGGGAGTTGAAGTCCACACAGCTTAAAGATGCTGAGGTTGAAAAACACTGGATTACAGGATTGATTTCCAAATCTATACCCATTTTTCAAGAATTAACTCGATCTAAGATCTGCAAATACCACTATGGGCTGCGTAACATTTTTTTTTTTAGAGGAAGGGGGAAATTATGACTTGTGCACGCATGTATAAACCATTTTATTAGCACTAGCTGGGGGCCTATTTTCTATTCATGCTATGCACTGTGAACCCTTGATTTTGTTATTTCAAACAAAAGTCACCAATGTTGTGTAGCAAAATTGGCATACTGGAAACACCACCAACCCAGTTTCCATCTGCTGGGTCGGACTGCAGCTCCCATAATTACTAACCAGCATGGAGACTGGGGATGATGGAAACAAAAACACCTCAATGAGGTTTAGATGTAGAACTCCAAAATCCAATTAATTTAATGTGTCTGAATTTAAAAAAAATGTCTTTGCTTTCAAATAGGAGAAGTGGAATTGATTTCCAAATAAAAGGGCTATATAGTTGCACAGCGGTGTATATATGTGTACTGAGTGCAGATGTGCGTGAGTGCCATGCCTTGTTAGGCATGTAGAGACAGTTTGCCAGCTCATCCTCTGGGATCAACATGCAATTCTAGGCACGGATAGAATTCTCCCCTAAAACTGAGTGCACGCATTAACTCCAGTGCAGGGTAGAGAACAAGAAAACTACCTGGATCCTATCACCAACAATTGCTTTTACAGAGAGCAACACAAGGTGAAGAGGAAGTCCCAGAATTAGCCTTCTTAGAAGATCAAGAATAAGCCTGTTAAAACTTCAGTTAATGCCACCTTAAAACCAAGTTACTTGGTTGGTTTTCTGAGCTGAAGATTGGTGAGCCTGGGTTTTTGAACTTCTTAAGTATGAGAGATTTTGAAGAAAAAAAAAAGGAATGAAGATAGGAGTGGCTGGATAGTTCTTGTAATCTGCAATCCGCTGCTCTTTCAATGGTGATATGCTATCAAGCCTAAGGGGAGGGGAATCTGTTGTATTGTGAATTGCTATCTAATTGGAGCTTTTCTTTTGATTGTCTTCCAAGTATTATTTTTTATTGTAAACAAAAAATGTGAAATGTAATTTTTACAACAGCAATATGAAATATATTTTATAATAAAAGGATATGGCCTGGTAGATGTCAGTTTCTGTATTTTTTGCTCCTTCTCGGGAGGCTGGGTGGGTGAGTGGGTAGGTCTACATAAAAGTGATTCCTCCATCTACTTTTCCAGAAGATTATTGACTCGTCATCCCAACTGGTCAGGATGTGTATGGAGGCATAGAAAGTTGACTTTTAAATTAAACCAGGCTGCTGGTACAACTATTACTCCGAATAGTTGAACCGCTTTTCCTGTTAGAAAGTTCTTACTGATATCCAGCCAAATTCTACTTCATTGTAATTTAACACTCTGCTCAAAAGCTGAGGGATAAAAAAGTATGCCATCAGTGACCTAATGTGGAGAATTGATGCTGGGGATATTATCTGTCTCTACAACTGAGATAACTCCTAATGAGTGACACTTTCTTCCCTCAGGCATTTTTCAAGCTAGAAATTTCTTGATTAGTACACAGAAGTATACTTGTATAATTGGACAGAAGGTAAGAGTGTCTCAAAATGCATTTGTACTGGTGTAGGTACAAAGGTCATCCCTATAGTGAACTGGCATACCAAAGCTGCATAGATCTGGATATATTTCAACCATGGGGCTTTGCTTGTTTGTGCGGACTGGTTGCTGGTATGCTGCGGCCCAGTATCAGTCAACGGATTGGGGGTTGGAGACCCCTGGACTAAAGTATAACTAGCTATATAACTCTCTGCTAAAAACATAGTTTAACATATAACAGCTCCAACTCAGCTGCAATTACATAAAGGGTACGAGTGTTAACAGCAATGGAAATTTTAGAAAACCTGAGAGTGCAAAGAACACTCTCTAAGGTTATTTGTGTTAAGGGGCTCCATAGCAGGAAGATATTGTAACGTGGAAGCTTGCAAAGTAGAAAGCATTATTCTCTTTATTACTCTAGTTAAACCTCTAAGCTTGAGTGATCTTAAATCTTTCTGCCCCAAACTTCAAGAATGTCAGCATGGAATGAGTTAAGACATATTGTTTTATAGCATACCTCAAGCTCTTGGCATAAGTGTCTGTGAGTCTTTTTTAATGAACTGAAATAGTTGGGTGATGTATAGCTAGGTGTGGCATTAATAAATTTTCTTCATGGAATTTCCTACCTCATTTTTAACTGCAATGAAATAATGGCTCCACAGACATAATGTGCCAGGAGATGAAACATCTCTGGGCTGCCTTGTTAAGCAGTTGGACAGCTGACTTGTGGGAAAAAAATTCACTGCTGCCCTAAAACATTACATAAAGTACATTATTTAGACATAGTAAAACAGTTGTCGATTAATTTGTTTTAGTGATCAGTTTTGAATCCCAACTTAAAAAATATAAAAAAAACAATTAGTAAGAAAGAAATGTAAAATAAAGTGTAACAACAGGTTTTTAATCTCTTGGTGATTCAACGTTTTTTTTAAAAAAATATGATTTTAAATTAAATCCAGAATGAAGCAATCTAAAAAAAACCCCCCACTATCAATTTCCCAACTGTTCTGTTACATCGTACGAAGTCACAATTTCAGCAATACTATTCAACAAGGAATCTAACCTTTCAGTCTGCTAATACCTGTACTTTACATCTTTTATATGAAATTTATGACATTCCCTTTACAGCTACTGCATATTTTGGCATTAGAGGAAGTCCTCATTTAGCAACTGTTCAAAGTTATGACAGTGATGAAAAAGTAACTTTGTGACCAATCCTCAAATTTATGATCTTCACAGGTCTGCAAAGGAAAGGAAAGCTGACGTAAGATTACAAGCAGTCATTTCACTTAGCAACCATTTTACTTAATGACAGCTGCTGGTCTCAACTGTGATTGCTAAGCAAGGACTATCTATATTTACTGAACAAAATAAGTATGTAGTATGCAATTTAAAGTACCAACCATTTTCCTCAAGATCTCTCCTATCTCAGAAGCTCCCTTTTGCATTTTACTTGCAGGCATTGCTTATCGTCTCTTAATTGGCGGTGATTCCCCCCCCTTCTGCTCTTGCCCCATCATAGAACAAACTTGATCAGACACATTCAGTCTGATTTCAATGGTCTGCATTTCCTCTTTGACCTTTTATTGGCTTACAGCACAATTTTAGGCAAACCTACTCAAGAGGTTAAGTCCCATTATGTAGCTTATCTCCAGGAATATATTAAAAGTTCCTAGTGATCAATTACAGACCTTTAAAGCTTTAATGTATTAAAGCTTTCCCCTTCGCTTGCAATTGCATCTGGATGCTTCCCTCCATTCTATAGGTTATCAGCCTAATTTCCTTCCTATAGTGCAAGCTATAACTGGCACTGTCAGGGGAAACAGCATGGTTTATTTTACTCCATGCAATTATTTTACGCAAATTTAGATGGTTGCTCTGAAAGTGTTCAAAAATTTCTTACAGATATATACTTTGTCTACCTTTTGTTCCAATAGAACATTCTTTGCAAGCAATGTAAAATTTAATTACTCGTACTTTTCAATTTAAACAATGCATTAGAATTACCAATGTATTTCTAATCTATATTTTAATGACCATAGCAGAAATGTCAAGAGAATGAGTACCAAAAAATAACTTTTTCATATGGCTACCTTCAAAAATACAATTAAGTAAAAGAAGTCTACATAGGCTGATGAAAAGACCAAGTTTATCCTTTGAAGTAATGCTTGTTTTCTGAAGATCTTTCTGCACATATAAGTATGACTTCTTCTCTGCATAAGTTTTCTTTTGCTTGATAAAACAAAAGCTTTTCCTACTTTATTGTCTCTCCCTGGTGTGTATTCTCTGATGTAAAGTTAGGCTTGTGTTTCGACTGAAGCTCTTACCACACTCTAAGCATTTATAGGGCTTTTCCCCTGTGTGAATCCTTCTATGTGAAACAAGATCTGTGCTCTGTCCAAAGTACTTCCCACATTCCAAGCATGGATATGGTTTCTCTCCTGTATGGATTCTATGATGCCTAACTAGGCTGGACTGAGTGGTAAAACTCAGGCCACAGTCTGAGCAGTTGTACGTCTTTTCCCCAGTGTGAATCCGCTTATGTTTAACAAGGCTTGAATGGTCCCGGAAGCTCAGGCCACAGTCCAAGCAACTGAACGGTCTCTCTCCAGTGTGTGTCCTTTGATGCGAAGAAAGGCTTGTGCTCCGACTGAAGTTCTTACCACACTCCAGGCATTTATATGGCTTCTCTCCTGTGTGGCTTCTTTCATGCTTAATAAAGCTTGACTGATCAGAAAAGCTCTTGTTGCAGTCTAAGCAGCTGTATGGTCTCTCCCCAGTGTGGATGCGCTGATGCAAAGTTAGGCTTGTGCTTCGACTGAAGCTTTTCCCACACTCCAAGCATTTATATGGTTTCTCCCCTGTGTGGGTTCTTCTGTGTGAAGCAAGATCTGTGCTCTGACCAAAGTACTTCCCGCATTCCGTGCACCGATATGGTTTCTCTCCTGTATGGATTCTCTGATGTCTAACTAAGCTTGACTGAGTACTAACACTCAGGCCACAGTCTGAGCAACTGTAGGGTTTTTCCCCAGTGTGAATCCGCTTATGTTTAATAAGGCCTGAATGGTCCCGGAAGCTCAGGCCACAATCCAAGCAGCTGAATGGTCTCTCCCCAGTGTGTGTCCTTTGATGTGAAGAAAGGCTTGTGCTTGAATTGAAGCTCTTCCCACACTCTAAGCATTTATAGGGCTTCTCCCCTGTGTGGATTCTCTGATGCGAAGGGAGGCTTGAGCTGTGATTGAAGCCCTTTCCACACTCTGAACATTTATAGGGTTTCTTGTCTTCGAGAAATGCTTGACCATCAGCAAGGTTGTGGTTCCAATTCACACTCTTTCCAAATTTGAAGTTTTTATTTGACTTTCCCTCTGCGTGGATTAACTGGTGAATAGTCAGACAATTATTACATCTCTTATCTGTTTGGCTGTTAGGTTGCACTGGGGTTTCACTGAAACTTCTACCTTGAGAAGTAATAGATTTATCAACTCTTTTCTCCACAAAACTTCCTTCTTCTCCTGTTGGTCTGCTTTGATTCCAAAAATTCTCTTTCAGTTCCTCAGATTTGACTTTTTCTGATTGCTTCCCATCATTCTCACTCTTCCATCCATTATCCACTGGAATAAAAAGAGAAAGCCAACAAAATTTCCACATAGGACCTCCAGACATTGTGTTATAAACATAGTTAGTTTCTTGGGCTTCCCCCCCCAACAGTTAACTAGCCCCTTAAATCCTTCCTAGGTAATCTACTACAGGATTTATCTCTCTTTCCACTAGGATTCTGACTTACAGGGACAAATATAATCTTAAATGGCTGTTTTCTGCAACATGCTTAATAATCAGCTAGAACCTCAGTACTCTATATCTCATCAACGGTGATTTTTGCAGCACACTGCTGATTTAATTGGGTCAACAACTGCTATTTTAGGAAGACAGATTCCACACCCCACTTTTTCATGGAGTACATGATATCCTATGAGTCTTTGTATCAGTCAAATACTGGCAAGTTTTATTATATCACTAACCCCATCCCCTTTAACAAGAAGGCAGCAGTAGGAGAAGCTTCACCCCTTTAACTAATGGGAATGAGCTTGGAAAGAAGAGTGCAGCCTAGATTATACATAGTCTGATAAAATTTGTGTCTGACGGAGGAGATATGGTGAAAGCATCTCAGAAGGTATTTTCTCTAGTTTTTGGGAGAGTAAACGTGAAGAAAGGAAGAAGTACTTTTAGTCTTTCAAAATTCTGTTAATGTGACTTTACAAAAGAATTAGCAATCATAGTACTAATTCATATCAGAATTACCTCAAAGGGCTAACAATAGCCAATTAATGTGGAAGAGACATATCTCTAGGTTGCCAGATCTTGGAATGAACAAGACTGTTTTTTCAGTTGATTTTCTCTCTATATAGCAAAGAGTTACTTAATCAAAACAGAATGTCTATATTTAGGCCTGTCCACAATTAATTGGGTCAAATTAGCTTTAATTCTATGCATAACTGGTTCTGTTTGAGGATAAACTTTACTGAGCATTAGCTAACTGTGTCAATTGATCTCTTTTGTGTTACATCATGCTAATATCTAATTATTCTTTCCACTGACCAAGTTAAATGAGTTGGGATCAAATAGCTCTCCTCGTTGTCACTGTCGTGTCGGAAGCGCTGAGGCGCTTCCAGGTTGAAAGGATTAGCCAACGACATCACCACTGCCTGGGGGACACCCAGTTGGGGGCTCCTTTCATGGTCTGCTAATAAGGCCACCAAAGTAGTACCTATTTATCTACTCATGTTTGTAGCTTTTGAACTGTTATGTTGGCAAGAGCTGGAGCGAATGATGGGAGCTCACCCCATCACACAGAAGCCCTCAGGTCTTGAACGCAGGCTTGCAAATTGTTAACCCAATGTTCTAGCCATGTGAGCCATCGTGCTCCGTCAGCTCTCCTAAAAGCCTTAAAAATGAAGGCTACCAGTTTGGTGCTTCAAAAATCCAGATGACTCTAGATAGCAGCAAGCAGCCACATTTCTTGCGGCCTGAAGTTTTGCACCTCAGGTCTGGTAACATCACCAAAATGTCAAAAATTAGGGATTTCACTGAATTTCAGTGTTTTGATTGGTATTATTTTAGCAGGTAGAGGCAATAGCTTTTATGTCCATGACTGCCATGTTGTTGACATTTATGCTGTGCCATACTGTTTTTTTTTTTCATTCTTTCTGAGAGTAAATCCAGATAATAGGATGTAGCACCTTGGAAGTCCTATGTGACCTGGGGCGTGGATAGCTTTAGGACAGACTACTTCCAGCAATACCAGTAAAACCTAGATGGGAAGATTCACTTGGAATCCCTACTCTAAACAGAGCAACCATCAAGCACAAAGCCAAGTTTTTTCTCCTGCTGCCCCATTGCTTTGGACTAACATTCCCGCTATGATTAGCCTAGCTAGCACCAACCCGCTTGCAATTTAACAAAGTTGTTAAGACTAGGCCAACCAAGAAACTACTTAAGACTGACTTGAGAAATGAGATTTCTCTACCCTCACTTCCCAAAAGATTGATTTTGTTTCTATGAATGCTGTTTCTCAGCATAGCACAATTAGAATTATTATGGTTATTGTATTTTATAATCGGTTTACTAAAATGGAATTATGCTGCATGAAGCCAGTTGCAACTGAAGCAGCACAGAAATTGTGTAATACATAAGTACACAGTAGCTTATTCAACAAACCATGATGAAAACAAATTGGGGCTTAGTGTTAAAATGAGCAAAAATGAACCAAGCTCAAAAGATATATCCATAGTCCTTACCAGTATCAATTCTCAACTGGACACTAGTTCCACAAGGAGCTGGGCTCCCTTCTCTGCAGGGAATGGCTTTATTTGCTTTCTCCCCTGGGATATATTTTGCTCTTTCTTGGCTTGTTAAAGTTTTTGACTGCTCCCAGTTCTGGAAACCATAATCTTCTCCTTTCCATGCTGATTTGCCATATAATTCCATAGGTTTTGAATATTCTGGTATATGTCTCTCCTCGTTGATTCTGATTAAACGTTCCAGGCCTGTTGGAGTAATGAAAAAAACCCAATTTGTTCCGTAAATTAGAAAATATGCAACTTCAAAATTATTTTCTATATGTATGTGGGAATGGAATTAAGTGGAAGAATCACCTTTCAGATCTCAAAAGGAATTTAGCTGTCTCATGCATTCATCAGATTAAGAATCCAAACCTTTGAGCATAATTTTCCTATCTCTTCCATATACTGAACATTACCCCCAGTATACAAAATAAGAGAGAAAAAAACAATTGTATGCTTTCTGACAGTCTGTTGCCTCTAGTTATTATGAAAAATCATGACTGTTTATAAGCCCCATAAAATAAAAATAAAAGTTATCAAGCATTCTAAGACGTATAATGCAATTGTGAAGGAGGTGAAAGAATCCCCAGATACATAAGAAATATATATATATATATATTGAGCCCAAATGTGTTTCAAAAACAATTGTGTTCAGTAAACCTATGTTGCATATCTGGATTTTTTTTCTTTTCCTTCCTTTCACTACAATCAGGCTTTTCATCTTTCCTTCCTTTTTTTCATATCCCGAAGACCTTAAATAAAATAAGTTCCAAAAGAAATTAAATGGAGATTGTAAATTTAGATCATGTGGGTGGCCTCGGAGGTCTGTTTTTAAAAGAGCAAATAACACTCATTAAACTTTGGGAAAATTATTTTGTCTCCCCATTTCCATTTAGTGATCAAAGAGTGTGAATACTATAAGCATACATCAACTTCTCTGTTCTCTGAAGGAAGGAGTCCTAGTTGAATTCAGACTCACAATGAAGTTTAGATACACAAAAGGGCATTCCTCATTACCCAAGAAGCAGACATCCACTGTTTCATCTATCCCTCTTAGTCACAGCACACAGAAGTCTCCTTTCCATCTTAGTTGGAACTTCATGTTGCTAGAAGTTTGCAGGTTTTTTCCCCCCAGAGTGGTAGTGGGAATGAATCCTTTCAAGATAAAGCAAAAAAGCTGAAAGGACATAACACACAAAAAAAGACCCAATTCTATGTTTAGTGGCCCCATTAGCACAAGCTAAAGGGATATCAGGACTGAATTACTTGAATGTATATATTAAATTTGTTGAGGCTTTTTGTTAGAAACTAGTTACACACAGTTCACGGTAACCTTGCATGCAGTTGACTCAAGAAGACGGACAAGGAACTTGTTGTATTTTAGTCTATGAAAAATGTCCCCTTATGGCTAGACTGACCCTACAAAAGTGATATCCCATTCCACAAATTAATGCAAATGGAAAGCTTTTTTATGCTTCCTTTTGATGTCAGTGTTGATTATGATTTCCAATGTTATTGGACTTAGTGGCCCAAATATTCTTTCCACCTCTGTATAATAAACATTATCACCTAAATTTTTCAAGTGTATGTCCATGTTCTTCCATCCTTGGAGTGGCTCTTTTATAAAATAAAATAGAGCAAAACGTCCTATGACACATCTTACCATGATAAATCAAAACTACAGCATATAACACATAAAATACAGAGCATGTAACAACACAAAATGTTTTTCCTCTTCTGAAATCAACAAATTATGCCACAGGTAATGTGATAAGAAGTATCTCACTTCTTACCACAAGAATTTTCTTTACAGTCCATTTTGGTCTAATTACATACAAATTATGCATACATTAAAATGTGTATGTCTATTATTTTTGAAAAAAATATGTTTGTTATTAATTATGCCTTCCTTTTTCTCTCCAGTAAGGGAATAAGGATTTTTACTTTCTTTGCAAGACCTCCATATTGAGCAAATATACAGAAATCTAATATTCTCTAAAATGCACAGAAGTGGAAGTAAATTCAGTTATATTAACATTTAAGATTATATATCAGAAATTTAGATATCAGAAATTTAATTAACATTGTGGCCACAGCATCTGCCACAATAACTAAATGCAGAATAATTACTTGCATTTTTTTAATTTACTAATATTTAATGCTACAATAATCCCACCCACTGGTGTAGTATAATTTTTGGAAAAAATAAAGAACTGATTAACATTAGGATAATAGAAGTATGAATGTGGTTTGAAAAATGAACAGTTGATGGTAAGTTCCTTGCAGCAGAAGCAAACAAAGCAATGTTTTTTTTAAAAAAATAAGTTAATTCAAAAACAAACTTATAAAAAGAGCAAAATGCTGAATCTCATCTCTCAAACTCCAATGCTCACAAATAACAGGTTTTAGAGGTGGGTCAGAAAGCAGGGATTCTGAAGCCAAGCTCAGAACTCACATAAGTTCATACCTGGAAAGGAAGTATTTCAAGCTAAACCATGCGAGGCTTTAATGACTTAAGATCAACACTAAATGGAATCTGGAAATAAATATGCAATTAATGGTACTGGCAAAGAATATGCATAACATGATTCAAATGCTTCATTTCCCTCTCCACATCTCCCCTCCTCATGCATACACATACATACACTCTGCAGCCTGTTTCAACAGCTCTCTGAAGAATCTCATGGTATACTTTATAATAATCTAGCCTGGCCATAACCATAATATCATGGAAGCTAGGTCAACTTTATCTACAAAAGATTGCAGCCATCAACCTAGTGAAAACTAAATCACCAATCCAGAATCACTCTAAGCTTTAAGGGGAAAAGCCTCCAGCTAAGAATTATATTGCAAACTTCCTTCCCGAGCTGCAGATTTTGCTCCCTGCCATCTACCTAGACTTAGCTTCACTATCCTTCACCCACCATCCTTTCTCGTCTTTTAACCGCGTCCCTCTGATAAGACCATGATAAAAGAGGTCGACCTGTTTGTGATCGACATCCTGATAATCTCCTTGCAGATTTTCGGTTAAGCTTTCCCTGCAGTTTCTCTCTCTACAGGTGTTTAACAAAGCCCGAGGGAGGGCAGCTTCAGAGATTACAAAACCCACGAGTCACGGAGTATGAAACCAGGTATTGCAAAGGTCCCCTTTCCATGACTATTAGACGCGCAGAGGAAGGAAAACTGGTCCCTTCTTACAAGTTGGGCTACGGGGAATGAGAAGGTGCGGCAGCGGGTTTTCGTGTCCTTCCGATCTGCAGCTCAGCCTCTTTCGGGTTTTTTCTTGGGGGAAAATCCCGCTCCCAATACTCACCCAGGTATGTCCAAGCCCTTTTCGCCCACCTTCGAGCTTGTAAAATCCAAGAGAAAACCCCCCACTTCCCCTGGGGCTTTCAGGAAATCTTACTTGCATTTTCAAACATCAGCTTCCGGGGCGGGTCTTAATGAAGGAAGAGCCAATAGCAGAGAGAGAGAGAGAGAGAGAATGAATAAAGCGGCTTTGTTAATTTGCCTAGGTAGGAAATGGCAGGGTTGGTATCGCTAAGTTGCTCTAGAAGTCCCCCCCCCAAACATAATTAAGATGGTCCTCCCGCTCTTCAAAATAAGTAGACAATAATTAAAGAGTCCGGGCTATATCAAACTCAAGTATTGTTATGTGTGAAGCCTTTTCTAAAAATGTAAAATATTAAAGTAGTTATGCAAAAACACCACCTTGATTTTAGATACTGTAGTATGAGAGTTGGTAGTGGTGGGATTTAGGGTGTCAGGTTACAACAACCTTGCAACATAGACCTATGCTTGTACTGTACTATTACTGTGGTGTTTCTCAGGCTTGGCAGCTTTGAGATATATGGACTTCAACACCTGCAATTCCTCAGTCAGCTGACTGGGGAATTCTCGGAGTTGAAGTTCACACCTCTTAAAATTGCCAAGCTTAAGAAATACTGGGTTAGAGTATAAACAATTTGCAACAGGGTACATACTTAGCCAAGAGCTACCAGCTAGGTATCCATTCCATAGAAATGGGGGATACTGTAGCAAGCAGTCTATATTTCCTTTTAGTAACATAAAGAAGAAGAGAAAGAAGAGCTTTGACTGCACACATTACATGGATGCTCATTGTAATTTTGGTCACCAAACCTGGAGGTGGGAGGTGGGAGGTTGGATTCTGCACTTGTAGGGATTCTGCACTTGTAGGGAGCTGAACAAGCATGCTGGCTGAGGAATTTTGGGATGTTGCCAAGCCCATATTTAAAGTTCCCAAGGGTGAGAAACATTGTACTATGGTACAGTGCGCCACGATTGGAAAAAGAATGTAGAGCAATAATCCATGGTTCCAACTGGAAGGTGAGGGGAGGCACAGCAACTCAGCCCAATGAGGAAGAACAGGCAAAAAAAATCAATACTCTATAGATCAGAACTGCTTTTACTGTATTGAAAAAAGCTTCAGTGACAGAATATTGCAAATCTGAATGTGTTTCCTCCTTCCTCCCTTTATCTTTGGGTGAATTAGGGAGCAGCTTATCTGAAATGTTTTCTCAAGTTATCTTCTTAGCCCAAATTCAAGCTGCTCTTATCAGACCATTGGCTCAATGGTTACTTTTTTTTCCTGTTCCCTCTTCCCTCTATATCAAGAGCTATCTGATATGAGAAGGGATCTATATAAACGCTCAAGTCCTTGGAATCTTATCTCTATTACAAACTCAAGGGCTGTATTCATATAACACACTGAATTGTAATAAACTTGATTTGGTTTTGGTTTAGCAGGTTCCATGCATTCAATCATTGTCGTTTGTACAATACAGGATTCTGATCAAGGAAATCCGGGTCCATCCTCCTCCACTGGATGTCTTCAGGATAGTTGCTAATGGAAAAATGTAGATCTAATAAAGGTGTTCTTAATGCCAATTTCAATTTATTGCAATCAAAGATTAGCTGATTCTTAAGGTCCTCACAATTAGACATTGCATATGAAGTATCCAGAAATAAAAATTATTGTAATTTCATGTAGTATTTAGTGTTAAAGCCACAATCAAATGCCTCCTGGAAAAAATTAGTAGCCAGTCTCCACAGCCAGCAAGGGGTGGAGGATGCAAACTGAGACATTAGCCATTCAGGAATAGAGGAGCAATCAGCAACTACCTTTCTTGCAGCTGAACTCTCCAAAGATTCTTTTTCTAGTCTCTTCACATGATCTGACTTGGTGGTTCCCATAGAGCAGGGGTGTCAAACTGCCGTTCCGCGGGCCAGTTGCATCATGCGGTGGCTGTGCCCACCCTCGCTCCCACAATGCAAAAAAAGTTGTGATACATCATAACACGTCACATGATGTGGCAAGTTTGACACTCGTGCCATACAGTCACCGTAGTGAAGGGGTTATGGAGCTGCCTAGAACCAGTTGAGCTCTTACCTGTCCTCCACCCAAAAGATAATTAAGAAATAAAGTTAGCCTTTATTTATCACTTGAAATTAGGCCTGTAACAAGTAGGAGAAAACTTCTACATTTTGTTTGAAGTCTCTTTGTGTGTGTATATGTGTGTGTGTGTGTGAGTGAGAGAGAGAGAGAGAGAGGGAGAGGGAGAGAGAGAGAGAGATACGATGACTCCTGGAGACTGTCCGTACAAGTTCCTGAAGTTTTCTTAGCAAGATTTAGGAAGTGGTTTGCCCTTGCCTGTTTCCCAGGGCTGAGAGAGGAACTGGTCCAAAATCACCCAGCTGACTTGATGCCAGAGGTGGAACTAGAAGTCACAGTCTCCTGGTTTCTATCTGATGCCTTAATCATTACTCTACACCAGACTGGCTCTTTCTTTTGAGGGCCACACAACATGGACATTGTAGTATGCAACATGGAATTTTTAGTATTGTTGTACTTGCTAATTAAAATATTTTGTATTTTAATTTGACTTATTTTTCTCTCTTTTAAATGATGTTAATGGTTTACCAAATCAGCACAGACTGGAATGAAGAATGGATTAATTGATAACTTCTAACATTCCTAACTCCTTCATGGATTACTGCCTTGTCGTGGCAAAGGGGCTTGCGTAACTCAATGAAGCTATGAGCTATGCCGTGCAGGGCCACCCAAGACGGACAGGTCATAGCAGAGAGTTCTGACAAAATGTGATCCATTGGAGAAGGAAATGGCAACCCACTCCAGTATCTTTGCCATGAAAACCCCATGGACAGTACCAAAAGGCAAAAAGATATGATGCTGGAAGATGAGCCCCTCAGGCCGGAAAGTGTCCAATATGCTACTGGGGAAGAGCAGAGGGCTAATATTAGTAGTGCCAGAAAGAGTGAAGCAACTGGGCCAAAGCCGAAAGGAAGTTCAGCTGTGGTTGCATCTGATGGTGAAAGGAAAGTCTGATGCTGTAAAGATCTTTTCTCCATAGGAACCTGGAATGTAAGATCCATGAATCAAGGCAAGCTGGATGTGGTCAAACAAGACGTGGTCAAACAACAGAGAAAAGATGACCACTACTTACAGAATAGGGTGATTTTCTCTTATTTAATGTTATTTAGGTTGCAACTTAGTGACAGATTTTATCTTCCTGGGCTCCAAGATCACCGCAGATGGGGACTGCAGCCAAGAAATTAAAAGATGCTTGCTCCTGGGGAGGAAAGCTATGGCAAATCTAGACAGCATACTAAAAAGCAGAGACATCACCCTGCCAACAAAAGTATGTATAGTCAAGGCCATGGTTTTCCCAGTTGCAATATTTGGCTGTGAAAGTTGGACCATAAGAAAGGCTGAGGACCAAAGAATTGAGGCCTTTGAACTATGGTGCTGGAGAAGATTCCTGTGAGTCCCCTGGACTGCAAGGCGGTCAAACTGGTCAGTCCTAGAGGAGATAAACCCTGAATGCTCTTTAGAAGGCCAGATCCTAAAGTTGAAACTCAAGTACTTTGGCCACCTAATGAGAAGGAAGGACTCACTGGAGAAGAGCCTAATGCTGGGAAAGACTGAGGGCAATAGAAGAAGGGGACAACAGAGAATGAGGTGGCTGGATGGAGTCACTGAAGCAGTAGGCCTGAGCTTAAATGGACTCCAGAAGATGGTAGAGGACAGGAAGGCCTGGAGGAACGTTGACCATGGGGTCGCAATGGGTCGGACACGACTTTGCAACTAACAACAACAACAACATTCCTAAACTTCAAGATAAAAACACATCTTTGCTGTCCAGGTCAGGCTAGATAGCAGCATGTTTGTTTTAATAGGATGTCTGCAGTCTGCCTTTTGATAGGAGAGAGAGACAATTACTGTCTGATTTGTCTCTTCTTGAACTCCAAAAACCTATTCGCATTAACTAAATTTTACACCCCTGCTTTCATACGAGCTCATTTAAATGGACACACATGTTTAACTCCACGTAACTGATTTTCTATCTGAAGGAGGGACCACCTTTTGTCATGTCCAATCAACTTTTCTCTTGTAATTCTCCTTTGAAGTGTTAACTATAAGACTGAAAGCTGGGGTTCCCTCTTTGAATGACAGGGATCTTTTTTTAATTAGAATGAATAAATGAATAAATCATAATAAATTTATCTTCTTGTCTTGGTCTGTTTCTTTGGAAAATATGCATGCTGAGACACGAGCCTAAAGCCATATTTGGCGCTCATTTTTCTACTTAGTTAAGCTAAGAGCCAGGATTTCTCACTCATCTTCTTGGAGAAGCATTCCCCCTCCCTCAGGGGGGGAGAATCCTATTTAAGGAGCAACTAGAAATTGGCCTTTTGCATCTCTGTATAAATCCAGAGTGCTTTTTTCTAGAATTTACGGTTGCTGCAGGCTTGTAACCTTTTCAGCAGATCAGTAAAAGAAAAAAGGAAAGCAATGTTGGCCTTATCCACTGAGGTTTTTACCAAGAAGATGGCTTCCACTTAACATTCTGCTATTATTTTATTATTTGTCCTTATCTCATGATTATGTTTTATCTTTAATAAACACTCTAGATTTCAAGTAATCCCAAATTTGGAGGGTTTCAGGGGTTAAATTTATATCTTCTCCAAGGAAAAAGTTCAGATTTTGATGATGTGATAATTCATATGTTTGTTCAAGTAAAAGTTTGTATTTGTGTAAAAGGTTTTACCCATTTTACCTCACACCAGAACTCACTTAAACCACAGTTTAAAATAGTGTTCTACAGTCCTGCCAAGTGTAGTTTATTCAGCAAAACATAATTAGAATTTGTCTTAGTCTGAGTTACCATGCTCTTTAACCCATCTCATATAACTAATTAAGTGTAGTTTGTGGCTTGGGGAGTCAGATAAAATTTAGCCTGTGGTATCATGTTATACCACTAAATGAGTAGTGCCAAATTTTCTCTATGTTTTCATGTTTTTCCCCCATGGGGTCAATATTTGGACGAGTTCTAA